AAGCCTCGAACTTCAAATTACCTCTAAGTAGAAATGTAAACAGCAACTTTCAACAGAGTTATTTCTCAAGTTCTTGCCTTGAAACAGTATAGAGAATGAGATGTGGGAGAGAATTGTCAGGGAAAATTACACAGAAAAGAAAGAGAAATGAAGGATCTAAGGCTGAGCTAAAATCATCCTTCCAGAAAGAGAAAGTGAACCCAAAGCATGAAAATCTTGTACAAGAGTGAGTGCTAGATCATAAAAGTTAGTGAAGATAATTAATTAAAGGTGCTCACAGCTCATTATGGGTGGTAACTAGGGGAGGAGATGGGAACCAAGGAGATGGTAAAGGGGGAGAAGTGGAAATCTTTAGAGACAAGGCGGGAAAGTGAAAAAGGAAAAAGAGAACTTTGGTACGTATTTCCTAGTTTTTCTTCTGTTTTTATATGAAATATAGACACTAACATGAACAAAGAAAATATTTAAAGGTATAAAACCCACTGGTAAAATTAAGTACATGAACAAACCCAGGACACTCTAATACTGTGGTTGTGGTGGGCAGTCCACTCACAACTCTAGTATGAGGCCCAGAAGACAAATCTATTAAAAATAATAATACCTAGAGCAACTTATTAAGAGATAGGCAATATGCATTCTATATTTAGGTTAAGTTATATGATTATATTATTCAGGGATTTTACGTTCCTATAAATTTGTTCCCTATTTTTTCTGTAAATTGCTAAGAGAAGAGTTCTGAAATCTTCAGCCATAACTATGAGTTTGTCAATTCTTTCTTTGGTTTAGTAATTTTTTTCCTCCTTCACTTTGAATCCCTGCTACTGGGTGTACACGCTTTTAAGATCATTTTGTCTTCTTGATGAATTGATCACTGTATCTCAGAAATGCCTCACTTTATCCATAATTTTGTTTTGTTCTGAAAGTTACTTTGTCTGATATGACTATAGCCAATCCAGATTTTTTATGAATAGAAATGCATTGTATGGCTTATTCAATCATTTTACTTGTATATTTATATTTTTAATTTTTACAAGATTTTTTGCTATACTTAAAACAGTTGGAACTTCCATTTTAATGCAATTTGATCATCTTTTATTTTTAATTTGGTGCTCTATTTGCGGTTCATGTAAGCATTGATATGGTTTGGCTTAAATATTACTATTTGGTTTTTGTGTCTCCCGTGTCATCTTCCTCTTTTTAAGCCAATTTTTAATTGAATATTTCTTATAATTATCTTTTATCTTCACCTGAGGTTTATTACCAATATGTCTGTTTTTTCATTTTTATTGGCTGTTATGGCATTCGCAAGGTCATATTTGAGGAGATAAAGGAGTGAGCCACATGGGTATCTCAGGAAGGAACATGGAAGACACAGTGATATCAATTGGAAAGTCTCAATGATAAGGCTGGAGCATTCCAGGGATGTTCAAATAACACATAGGAGGCAAGAAAGAGGAGTTAGAGAGCTTTCAGTCTGGCTGAACTAAGAAGCCACTGGAGGATCCTGAACAGAGGAGTGTGAAATCATTTGACTTCCATTTAAAAAAGATCATTGTCCGACATGTTGCAATTGGCTCTAAGGGTACAGGGTGGAAGGGGAGATATCAGTTAGAATGCTATTGGAATATTCTAAGCAAAAATTGGCAGCAGATTAGAGGGTATTTGCAATGGAGTTTAGAACAAAAAAGAGGTTGAATATAGGACATATTTTGGCCAAGAGGATTTTATAATGATATACGTGACAGAAAGAATAAAAATAAAATTAAAAATAGCTAATTTTACTCACTCCTTTGTTTTTCTTTTGTTCTGAACAACTGAGATATGCAATAGCTATTTATCGAAATGAGAAAGACAAAGATCAGAGGTTATTTGAGGGAGATCAAAAATTTGTTTGGAATTTTTATTTAAATCCAAGTGAACTTGCCAAGTAGGCCATTGGATATATAACTAATCTGGATTTGAGAAGTTCCAGACTGAATATGTGACCTGGAGGGGAGGGTTGCCTTCCAGGTCATTTAAAGCCATAAGACTGAATGGCATCTCAGGGAATAAACTGCAGATAGAGAAGAGGCCTGAGTCCCAAGATCAGAAGCACTCTACTCACAATAGATCAGAAAACAATAGTGACATGAGAGCCAGTGACTCAGAGGTAAGCAGAAGACTGCAAAATGGAAGGGAGATTGGTGATCTAGTCTGTACATCATTAACATTGACAAGGATTTTGGTGGTTAGAGCAATTTTGGATGAAAGGTTGATTGGAGAAGATAAATAAGAAAGATTTGGAAGAAAGTATGTGGAGGCAGCAAATATATACAGCTTTACCCAATTTTTCTTTTTTGTTTTGCTATAAAGGAAAATACAGAAATGTGGTGGAAACTGGAAGGGGAAATAGAGTCATAAGAATTTTTTTAAAGAAAGTGAAATTTTATCATATTTGTATCCTGGTGGAAATGATCCATCAGACAGCAATAAAGCAGAAGAAAAAGTAGATAATTTCTAGAATATTGTCCTTGAGAAAGCAAAAGAGGATGAAATCTAGTATACACTTAAGAGAATTTGGCCTTATATAAAAGCACCATTTAATTATAATAATAGGAGAGACAGACTTGGGGAAAATAACATAATTGATGGGCAGCATTAAGGACACACTGGAAGCCTGCGTGTGTCAATGAGAACATTGACACATGATTATTTTATTCTATCACGCACATCTGTGAAGGATAAAGGGTTATGGAGGAAGGAAAGAGAGATAGGGAAGGAGAGAGAAAACCTGGGGGTATATATGTAATGAAGTGATAATGACTGACTATACAACTTAACCTGAGTAATGAAGAAAAGAAAAAAATATATAAGCATAGTGAAGAAATATGAAATTCCAGTAAAATTCTCAAGTACTGTGGCTATTGAAGTATTATTAGTGGGAGCAACTTACAAATAACAGCAGATTATAATCCGACAGTAGTCTATTTAATGCTGAAATAATAAAGAGGGTGTAGTTTTTGTTAGTAACAAGGTCGAAGGCATGATTATACGGACAAATGCTTTGTGCAGAATAGAGGAATAGAGGACAGATCATTGGGGAAGGGTAGTCATAAAAATCAGAGTCTACGTTGTTAGCTATATTATCTATATAGATTTTGAAATCCTCAACTGTAATATTGGAGATATTACATTTTGGATATTGAAGTGACAATAATAATGGATCTGATTATTAGAGTGACAATGAGGTTAAAGGTAAAATGCTTGAAACATGAGAGCCAGTGACTAAGAGGTAAGCAGATGACTACAAAATGAAAGGGAGATTGGTGATCTAGTCTGCTACAATAATTCAGAAGGCTTTAGAGGAATGGAACAGTCTGAGAGCAACAATGAGGAAGGAAGACATCTACTGCATGTTAAGCTCCTGTGGTATGAATAATATGGAAGAAAAAAATAGAAGAAGCCTCATCCTAAATTAAGTACTGGAGCTCAGCTGAAAGTTAATAGAAAGCACTGAGAAGAGTTTGAGGATGTCACTCATAATGAATCGTGAGCTCCAGCCAGCACAGTGGAATTTGTAGGAATTAGGAGGGGACTGAGAAAGACAGAAAAAGGTATAGGGAATCACTTATAGGGATTAGAGTTTGGGAGATGAGAGTGACTTGAGAGTAATGACTGATGTAGAGAGGCGTAAAAAACAATTAGAAAGAACCAGTCCTGGTGACTTAGAATAAAAGAAGCCAGTTGGTAAGGTAGGGGACATCCATAATAATTATTTATCCTATTTTACTTTGAGAAAACCAAAGGTAAGGACCTAGGTGGACATTTGTACCAGAAATTGAATCTGTAAGTAAATAATAAAAAATGTTTTGTTACTGTTACTCTCATTCCCTCACTCTATTCCATATTCCTTTTGGCAGGAGTCCTGGAAAAACGCGGTATAATTAATACCAATTCCTTTCATCATCATTGTTTATGTTGCTTTAATAAGGTTTTTTATTAAAACCTTATGTCTATATTTAAATGTGTCCTCCTACTCCAAATTAAGACTCCTACTCCTTACGTCAGGGAACATAGATTATTTTGATTTGTGGGCACCTGGTTTGAGGGAGGTAAAGGAATAGAGATCCAAGTAAAAAAATCAGAGAAAGGCCTTCTGTGAGTAATTTGAGTACACAAATACTACAGTGATGCTCCATTGGGAACTGTAATTCATTTATACATCCATTCCATGCATTATATGACTCCAAATATTTCTATGTGTTATTCACACATAATTTTAATCACTTACCCTAAAGAATTTGTGGCCGCCTTCTTATTGCCTATCTACCACTCACATGATTTTACTGAATATTAGCTCTATTCAGAATGATGTGCTCAGTTGAAAAAATATGACTTCTCAGGTAGTTTTAACAGCTAAGGCTGATGACGTGAAATATAATTCTGTAAAATGACGTATAGAAATCTATATGCATATGTATATGTATTTGTATATGTATGAGTGGGGCTTCCAGGAATGCTATTGTTTTTCCTGATAAAACAGACAAAAATGAAAGTGTGTGATTTCCCCCACTGTCCCCACCAGCAATTTCTGGCTTTCAACAGCTAAGCAGTAAAACAAAGAAACTTTGGCTTCTAATAAAAATTTAAAAAATAAAATAAGTAAAATAAAAAAGCTGGGTGCAGTGGCTCATGCCTGTAATCCCAGCACTTTGGGAGGCTGAGGCGGGCAGATCACCCGAAGTCAGGAGTTCGAGACCAGCCTGACCAATATGGTGAAATCTCATCTTAAAAAAATTAAAATAAATAAAATAAATAAATAATTTTTAAAAAAGAAAAGAAACTTCGGTGTCTAGTGGCTGTGAGGAAACTCTGTGCTGGCCCTCAGCTGTCTTCCTCAATGCACTTCCAAAACGATCAAACTTTATATACCATATGATCACTACGGCTTGTTGTTTGTGGTCTTTCCCCCATACAGTGACTATATGGACTTAAGAACTTTCAGCAATTTAAGTTTTTTGATTTGGTTGTATCATTTCTTCTATATCCTAAGCTTTGCTCACCACTATAAGTCATTGCCACATGTGGAGCTACTGCCTTATGCTGGCTCCGTGCCTACTTCAACCTTCTTAATTTCTCACACTATTAGAGCTGGCTTTCCCTAAAGTACCTAAAAGATCATTTGCATTAATGTTGGTTTCTTAGTACAGGAAGAGGTCTGTATTAAGAACTGAATTTTACAGTAATAGGCAAACAACATTATATTGAGGCAAATGCTTTTTAAAAGAGATGGCACATATTTCCTATCAGTTCTCACAGGGCAGCATGTCAAGTCTCTAAATTCATGCTGACTAAAACTCTGGCATTTTACAAACCACATGTGTTTGTTTAAAACTATCTTCTCATCGGTAATACTGTTAGCCAATCAAAAAACTAGAACTGTAAATTAGAGATTTACCAAGTGAGTCATGGTAGCCAAAGAAAATATGAAGTGAGTGAATAACACTTAGAACAGTAAATAAAATGGAGAAGAATTTGCTAGCAGTCAAAAAAATAAAAACAAAAACAAAACCCACTATGGCTGTGAGGACCTTAGAAGGTCACAGATGACAAAGATCAATTCAAACATCAACACTTTGATTTTCACTAATTTGTTTCCTGTTCTGAGCTTTATACATTTTAAATAAACCATTGCTTAGATTTTTACTATAGATTTTTACTTAGCCAACTCATATACTGATTTTCTATTCTATACCCAATTTTAAGCCCATTATAAGAAAGAGCTCTATGGAATCCATCCTCAAAGTGGTTATGGGTCACTTGAACTCCAGCGTTCCGTAGTCGGGTGGCGTACATGAGTCCATCATTTCTTAAGATGTCATATTGACAGGTGATGATGTAGGTCAAGGGCAAAACACGCAACTTGTTGTTATCAGCCAGCAATGGGGCTGCCCTCACATCTAGTAATCCTGGATATTTTTTAGCCAGCTCAGAACTACCATGATTTGGACTATGATAAGAGTGGCCTTTCTTAAACTTCTCAGTGAGCAAGGAACTCCAATTAACATATTTGAACAGATGGCTTGATTCCATTGGTACATGTTGATTAAAAAACATGGTTTTTTCAAGTGATCTGTCTGTGGTAAGGTATTCACTCCACAACCTGACCATGAGTGGTTTGGACGGGACTAGAGAGTCTAGGTTTTCCCGATACGATGGTAAATCCATGTCAAGAGTCTGAAGGGCAGGATATATTAAAGACTGAAGCTTGAGTTTGATCTTGACATCTGGGTCCTCTATGAGCTGAAAAACAATTAAAAATAGATTTCTTAAATAAATAATTTTCATTTGAAAACATATTTTTACTTAAAAACAATACATTGATGAGATTAATTCAGAATCTCAACAAGATAATCAGAAACAACAAAAATATATCTCAAGAACTTCCCCATTTTCAACATTATAGGAATCTATAATTTAATACCATGTAAGCAAGATGATTTATGCTTTTTTTTTTCATAATTGGAAAAAGAGGTCATCTAACCTGTGGTCTCAGATTAATCTGCGGTCTCAGCAAAATCTCAGGTCGGAAACGATGGCTCATACCTGTAATCCCAGCACTTTGGGAGGCCGAGGCAGGCAGATGACTTGAGGTCAGGAGTTGAGACCAGTCTGGCCAACATGACGAAACCCCTACTCTACTAAAAATAGAAAAATTAGCCAGACATGGTTGTGTGTGCCTATAATCCTACTCAGTAGGCTGAGACAGAAGAATCGCTTGAACCCAGGAGGCAGAGGTTGCAGTGAGCTGAGACTGTACAACTGCACTCCAGCCTGGGCAACAGAGCACGATTCTGTTTCAAAAAATAATAAATAAATAAATAAATAAATAAATAAAAGGATCAAATAACTAAGAATTCTAATTTGGCTCTAACACTGAGCAAATTAGTTCTGAGTAAGTTTTATAGTCCCTCTATGAAAAATTGGGTTGGATTGGTTTGATTTGTTTTTTAAATGGGAGAATTTCAACTGTGTTCTTTCTCTTTGTGCTGCAGTCATCTACGTAATTATCTTTTCAATTTCTACAGGGCAGTGGTATCCTAATTAGAAAATAACTCTCTCAGGTGTTATGTGAAAGATTGGGAGCCTTAAATACAAAAATATTTATTAAAGTTAAGCAAGAACATATTAGAATTCTCATTCCCACTATAAAACTCCAATTCATTTTAATTTTTATGTTTTAAATATTCAATTTATAGTGGTGTTAAGACAAATATTATCTATAAATCAGCATGCATATTTCCAGGATGGGCTAAAAGTTTCCTGTTAATAGGGTACTGAATTAGATAAGTAGAGACCAGAAATTTGAGTTATAAGAACCACTTCAGATGATTTTGATGCAAGCTAAAATTTGGGATCCACTAGCATAGGTCTAAATAGCGATTGTTGAAGCCACCTGCATTCTGATGCCTCTCAGATCAAAATTTAATGGGTAAATTGGAAGTCTATTTCTGAAAACTTGCAACAGCATTTTCTATATAATGTTGAAGAAAGCACCGCATGCTGACATTCTTCCTTTAACATAAATGTAACATTTTCCGAAAAAAAAATCAAACAAAACATGCACATACCATAGCAAAAGCAAATAGCCACAAATTTTATTTTATTGCATTAAAACAAAGTTAATAATAAGAACCACTTGGCACATTAAATGTAAGTACATTACAAGATTTTTTAATGTAAAAATAATTTCTGAATTGAAATAATTAGTTCAGCGTTATAGCTCAAGTAAGATTGCTACACACATTCCATCTAAGTCAATATCTAGTAAAAAGATGTTGTTTACATTAGCAGAGGTGTGATAAATAATTAAGTAGGTAGCTAATAGGTGGCTGATACTAGAGTAAGAAAAAACACAAAAAAATTTTATATTTTACCAATAAATTCAGGTAACTAAATCTCAGGTAAATTTACAGGCAACTAAATCTTTGAACATGCAGATATTTTATTAAGTTGTCTTTTATAATTAAATAAAATAAGCAGAAAATCAAGCACATGGCTTCATAAAACAGAAATGTAAAATATAACAAATATGTGTAAGGTTCAGGAGTTCACCATATCTCTTGAATTGATCATTTACCCTTCCTCTCTCCCAGAAATCACCATTCTTTGTTTTATGGTATTTAACATTGCAAGTTTCTTTAGAATCATGCCACCTGTGTTCATTTTTAATCCATATAGCTTATCTGGTTAAGAAAATTCTATCTATTCCTAGTTAACCAAGAATTATAACAATTGTCGTGACTTTTTCCAAATGCTTTTTCTACATCTAGAGAGATGATATATGATTTTGCTTCTGTAATTTACTAATATGAGGAAAATTAACTGATTTTTATAAAATATAATTTTCTTCCATTATTAGCAACTTGATCATGGTATATTTTGTTAACGTTGCTAATATCTTAGTTTTATGAGTGTTATTGGCCCATTTCTTTATTCCCAAAATAAATCTGTTCACGTTTCCTGAAAAACACCTGATCTTGACTGATTGATTGGCTATAAAACATATGCTTCTCTGAAAATAAATCAGACAACATGCACTGTTTTCTTTTCCTCTGGCATATTTCATGTTTATTTGGAATTATTTCATCTTTGAATGTTTAATGTATATTACCAATGAGGTTTTCTACTGGTACTGTATTTTATTACAGGTTGAGTATCTCTTATTCAAAATGGCTGGGATGAAAAGCGTTTCAGATTTCTGTTTTTTGTTTTGTTTTGTTTTGGAATATTTGTATCATACCTACCAATTCAGCATCCCTAAACAAAAAAAAATAATATCCAAAATACTCCAGCTAGCATTTTCTTTGAGTGTCATGTTGGTGCTTATAAAGCTTTAAATTCTGGAGCATTGTGAATTTTGAATTTTCAAATTAGGGATATTCAATCTGTACTGATTGAATTATTTTAGTAGTTATTACATGGCTGAGATTTTTATTTTTAGTATCTATCTGGCAAGTTAAATTTTTTCTTGGAATTTGATTATTTAATTTAAATATTGTTCCATTTTCTTTTAATTAAAAAGTTTTTCAAAATATCTCTTTTAAAACTTACAATGTGCATTATTAAATATTAAAGGCTAATTCTTTTTTATATCTGAAAGATCTACATACAATCTTACTCCCTTTTTCAATTCTGCCATTAATCTCTGTTTTTCTCTATTCGTCTTTCTAGATATTTTACAATTTTATTCATCTTTTTAAAGTATTAACTTTTTGCTTGTCATTCATACCACTAAGTTTGTTAGGTATATCATAATTTCTGATATTATCATTGTTGTTATCTCCCTTGTATTTTTGGTGACTTCTGTTCTCTTTTAAAAAGAATTATTGAGTCAGATACATATTTTTAGCCTTTCTTATTTTCTAATATATGCTTTTAAGGATATACAAGTTTCTCTAAATATTGCTCTACATGTGGAGAACATTAAAAAGATATTTAAAAGATATAAAAGTATCATGGCCCAGTACTTCAACCATTAAAAACAAAATAAAACAAAAAGACCTTTTGTGTTTGCTTGTTCCTCTGTTCCTCATACATCCATTACGTGAAATGTGTTGTTATTCCAGAAGTCTCTCAGCTTATTATTATTTTTGTCTGTTTATTCTTTTAATTACTGAAAGAGATATCCTTAAATTTCTCACTATAATTGTGAACTTGTGTATCTTTCCCTGCACCTTTTAATATTTTCTTCATCTGTTTTAAGGCTGTATTATTAAATCCACACAGATTTAGGGTTGTTGCATTTTCTTGATAATTTAAACTTTTTCTGTAAGACGTAACTTTTTTTTAACCTAGCAATATCTTTAAATGTATTTTTATGGTATGCGTTTTCCACAAATTTACTTTCAAATTTTCTGCTTATGCCTTTAATGTGTCATTTATAAACTGCATATGATCAGAAATTGTTTCTTCAGCCACTTTGATAATCTTGGTCTTACAACCAGATCATTTAGATCACTTATATTTAATCTAATTACTAAAGTGTTTGGTTTCAATCTACTACCTCATTTTATTATCCTTTTTTTTTATATTTTTGCCTTTCATATTAACCTTTCGATTTTTCTATTTTTTCCTCAGTTTAGAAGTTCAAAAATATCTATACTTTAAATGGTTGTCCTCAGTGTTACAATGTGTTATTTATTAACTTCTCAAAGGCAAAGGCTAATGAACTTATCAATTGCCAATTCTAATCTTTTATTTCCTTTTGGACAATAAAAAGAGTTTATAACACTTAAAATCTATCCTTCCCACTCCTCTTAACTTATAGCTCCTTTTTTTCTAATGTTTTAATTTTATATATGTTATTTTAAACTATCCAACTTTATTAGGGTTTATCCACATCTTAACACATTCTTGTCCTTTACTTCTACCTACATCTTAATCTTTTATTTGTGGTTTCATTTTGCCTAAAATGCTTTATTTAAAATATCTTTCAGTTTGTCCTATTAAAGGGAAGCTGTCTTAATTCTCATTTATCTAAATATGTCTGTTTCTCCTTTATTCTTAAATAATATTTTTGGGAGGCATAAAATTAAGCTGGCTGTCATTTTTGTTCTGTACATTAATATTGTCATTCCCCTGGCCTAGAGCTTACATTATTGCTTTTGAGAAGTAAGTTTTCAGTATAACTGGTACTTCTGTAAAGCTACATTTTATATATATATATATATATACATATACACACACACACATATACATACATATATGCACATACACACATATATGTGTGTATATATGTGTGTATATATGTATATACACACATATATACATATATATCATATATCATATATATATATATATATATTTTTTTTTTTTTTCAGAGTTTCGCTCTTGTCAACCAGGTTGGAGTGCAATGGCATGACCTTGGTTCACTGCAACCTCTACCTCCCAGGTTCAAGAAATTCTCCTGCCTCAGCCTCCCAAGTAGCTGGGATTACAGGCTCCTGCCACCATGCCCAGCAATTTTTTTCTTTTTTGTATTTTTGGTAGATACAGGGTTTCACCATGTTGGCCAGGCTGGTCTCAAACTCCTGACCTCTGGTGATCCATCCACCTCAGCCCCTCAAAGTGCTGGGATTACAGGCATAAGCCACCACGACTGGTCTACTGTTGTATTTTTAAATATCCCTTTCTCCCATTCTCTTGCCTCTCTTTTTGGTATAATATTTAAAACACTATTGGATTTTCAGACTGTATCTACTATATCTCAATCTTCTTTTCTGTATTATTTATCTTTTTGTCTCTTCAAGCTTCATTTTGCCTAGTTACATGAGTTGATATGACGCATCTTCCCCATCTGTCAATTTACAAATGATCTCTTCAGCTGTGTAAAATTATTTATGCCATTTTTAAGGTTTTAATTTTGATAAGTTTATTTTTTAGTTTTAGAATTTTTTTTAAAGCTCAATTTTCTAATGAAATTTGTAACTCTCATTCTGAATTTATTGAAGAAAGTAGGACAGTTGTTTCATGTCCTGTGAATATCATATTCTTAGATATTAGCTCTAATATCTAATTTTGTAGAGTATTTCTATTGTCTGCTGATTCAGCTTGCTTTCCTTCTTGGTTTCTTGCTTACCTGTTTGCCCAAGTACATTTTATAGTGTTTTGGGCATTCAATTTCATGAGGTATTCGCAAAAAAATAATTTAAAGACTATGATGGTACTATATTTCTCCAGCAATGTCTTTTATGTATTTCAGTCAAACACATAGTAGTAATTACCTCTCACACTACTTTAATTTAATTTAAATTCAAAGCTTGAGGTCCCTCCAGCCCTGTGGATGACATGAAGCAAGGCTATAAACAGAAGTGAGTTTTGTTTTACAGCAGGTTCACTTTGACTCTGAGAGTTTATTTCTTCAGAGCCTCACTTAAAGTGAGGAGTGATTTGTGAGTGCACTCATATCTGCAAGGCTCTTAAATTTGCATGTATAACCCTGAGAAGCTTCCAAAGCTCATCTTGGTTTGTTTCCTTTTGATTACCACATGCCATTAGGGGAGAGAGGATGTTGAGTGCTAGAATTATTTTTTGAGAAGTTTTCTCTTGTTTGTCTTTTTAAATTTTTGGTCTAGAAGTTTCTATATCTTATTAGCCTTTATAAGATATTTCAGCTAGATTTTTTTTTTTTTTTTGACATGGAGTCTCACTCTGTTGCCTAGGCTGGAGTGCAGTGACATGATCTTGGCTTACTGCCTCCTGGGCTCAAGTGATTCTTCTGCCTCAGCCTCCTGAGTAGCTGGGATTACAGGTGTGTGACACCATGCCTGGCTAATTTTTGTATTTTTGGTAAAGACGAGGTTTCACCATGTTAGTTAGGCTGGTCTCAAACTCCTGACCTCATGATCCACCCACCTTGGCCTACCAAAGTGCTGGGATTACAGTTAGCTAGATTTTTAATAATTATGGGTCCGAATTAACTGGTTCATCATTTTAGAAGTCTAAACTCCATAAGAGGAAAGGCTTATTATGCAACACAATAAAGAGAAATTGATGCTTGAAGAGATTAGGTGGCTTGTCTAAGGTCATAGCTGGACATTGCTTCAAATCCAATAATCTGTGTCTCCTGAAGGGTTAATTGTACTGCATTAGGATGCCTCTCAGAGCAACAATGTATATAGAATTCAATTTTGGAGAAGTTGCATGTATTTATTCTATAGTATATTAGAATGAATCACAAAATTTGTATTTTTCCTTTGGCTAGAAATCAGAAGGAGGTTATCTTGAATGTGCCGATAACCAAAATTTATACATTTCCAAAGTATATAAAAATAAATAATAAAATCAGCAAAAATGCTAGCAATATTTTCATTGCACAGTAAGTTTAGATGCAATATTTATTATTAGAGTCAGTTATTCAATTGCAGAATCAAATATTAAACTGTAGATATTAATTTGGAAAGTTTATGTAATTATTTTTCCTTATAGAAACATTGCTTCTAAGACATCACTCCCTGGTTTATTAGGTCAAAAATCCAATACCAAAAACAATGTTATCCATAATATAGTAGGCTGCTTATAATTACAGAATAATTTATATTGATAGCTCATAGGCATACAGTTTTGGCTAAATGTCATATAAGTAGTGGCATATAAATAATTAATAAATGAAAAGTATAATTCCTTCTGCAAGTATTTGGTATCTATAGACCTATTAACATTTTTTTCTAAAAATTTTATTTGAAATAAATATATTTAAGCATAGGATATTTAAGGAATAAAACAAATCTGAGCATCATACCTGTTGAGTCACCGCTGCAGCTAAATTTCCACCAGCACTGTATCCAGAAATGCCAATTCTTTTCGGATCTATACCATATTTTTCAAGAATCTCTTGGCGTAACAACCATCTTAGTGCATTATATACGTCTTCAAATTGATTTGTAAAGTGATATTTAGGTGTTAGTCTGTAGCTGTGGGCAGAAAAACAATTTTTAAGTCAACTGTTTTTAATTTAAAAGTATATGATATTCTGCTTACTCTAACCCTAAAATCAAAAGTAAAATTTTTTCTGTAGCAAACCTGATATTTTGGATCATGATAAATCCAAAACCAGATTTCATCCTTATGATGATGCTCTATATGAAAACTTTTACAAATGACATTTACACAAGTAAATTCTTTAATACAAAATGTGGATTAGGCTTAAGGAGAAAACAAACACACACACACACACACACACACACACACACACACACACACACACACAAGCAGGTGTTACGTTTCCCTGCTTGGGAATAAATTTCTTCCAGAATGATTTTTTTTTCCTGTGATCATTATACTTTAGTGGTAACCAATAAATGGCAAGCAAATCTTCAGAATTGTGAGATTCTACCTTAATCTAATGTTCAGATGGCTAATGTTTAGTTAATCTAATGTTTAGTTCATTACAATGTTTTTTCACATGGCTTCTTCGTTTTTCTACTCATTCTTATTTGGTCAATTTTCCAGGAATTATTGATCTAGAATACTTCTCAAGAATAGATTTTGCCTGTGTTCCCATGTGCAATTGCTTTTAGTGAAGGATTTTACCATGACATACCTTGTAGTACTTTAAGTTTGCTTTATCATATAATCCTCAAAAAAACCCTATTTTGTAGAAAATATTATATGCATCCCAATTTAAAGATGAGGAAACTAAGCTAAAGAGATTGTATTTATCTAGTACAAAGTCACAGAATTAATTTGAGTACCCAGATTTGATCCTGATTTTCTGATTTCAAAGCCCTCACTTTTATTCACTCTGCTCATGAAAACTAGGCTGGAAATCTAGCAGAGGTAATTTGTCCATAAGATCCAATAGTTTAATTGTATTCTATTTCTAAACTTCCTGTTTCTGATTCCTGTTTGATCTGATTTCTTATTTCCCGTGTCTGTTCCTGTAATGCTCAAGCTCACTTTCTCTATGGTGACTCTCTCAGTTTCACATAAACTCTCTTGGCATAACAAAGAAAGACCACAAAAGCTGACAGCATTTTCCTACATAAAGCGTTCAGCCTAAACCCAAACAAACCGAGAGTGCTCTTACTTGGTTGATACAACAACAGCATCAAGTCTATCAGCTGTTCACCTTGATAGAAAGTCATAATTAAACAAAGCTGAAATTAAAAAAAAAAAAAAAGAAACAGCCAAATGAATTGATGAGAGTGTTTCTTTCAACAGAAAGCCTACTAGTACAACTTGTTCCTCATTGATATACTCTAGAAAAAATATTTCTAATATTTTATCTTAATTTTAGAACATAAATTCTTCCCAGTGTTTCTTTTACATATACCTTGTCAGCTTTCTCATCCATTCCTACATTTTTACACTGGATAATTTAAACCAGTTTTTCTCCTCAAGATTAATTTCTGCTTCCTTCATTTAGCAGGCATTAGGTGTTGAAAGTACAAACACATAAATATTAGCTCCAGCTTTAAGGAAGTCATAGCCTACTGGAAACGGGGATGGGGAGGGCAGGCATATAAATCAAAAGCAATAATGCAAAATAATAGTTAATGGAGGGGTACAGAAAATGCTCTTTGGAAATTAAATTAAACTTCACAGAAACTGCCAGAGAGAGAGAGAGAGAGAGAGAGAGTAAATAGCAAGTAGAGAGAGCAGAGACTTGAATTAAGTATTCATATTTTCTTGGCAGACAAGAAAAAATGTGTTTTGTTCTATTTTGTGGTTTTGTTTTGTTTTGGTGTGTGTATGGATTGGGGATGGGTCACACCTGTTTGCCATGGAGCTTGGGCAAATGCTTCCTTTTGCAGATAAGAAAATTGTTAAAAGATAAATAGAATTTACTAGTAACAAGTGTCAGGATAAATCATACAGCTGTGAAGGAGAAGTAACAGGATACGAGGTTCTTACAAAGCCCATCTCTTGGGGGCCATGGAAAGTGGAATAGATATTATCTTGTGATGTTTCCAAAATCAGATGCTGAGTACTCTTAACGTCAAATACACACTAAGTCCTTAACTTTCATTTAACCTTTACTACAAAAAGTCATGCTCATATTTTTGATTGGAATACATATTTTTATGTTTTTCTTTAATATTGAAATAGAAAGTATCAGGCAAATGTTATTTTGTTTCTGAGCTTATTCTTATTTATTTCCTTTACCTTTCTAAACATATTTTCATTCTTCAGAGATACTTTCAGGTAAAAGTTTTCAAAAAAGTATTTTGGACAGAAGAGACTTGTGGAAACTGGTATGTCATATTCAGATTTTGTGTTAGACACATCACTGCATTGTTAAGTGGTGACTTTACTATCTAAATTTAGAGAAAATGATAGAATCACCCCATTTACTGCTCCCATTTAAAGTCCGGATCTACAGCAATACCATCAACACCTATTTTCCTTCTGTCACAAATGAAAATATGCTCCTCCTCCTATGTTGCCAATTTTTCCCATCTGTATCGAATCCAATTTGCTTCCATATTCTCTAGATCAGATAAACCCCCATCCCTTCCTCTAGCTGCCACTCCCCACGTTTCTCCAATACACCTCAATTTACCACCACCTTAACTACAACTTATAATCACGTTCATAGATCTCCTGTACATAAATATGAAATATATATAATAAAAAAACATGCAAAATATATTTGCAAATAAAATAATTTTAGATTTGATAGTAATTAAAATTTTATATTAAAATATATTATAAATGTTTGTATAAATTCATAAGTGCATTAAACAAAATATATATGATATAATATAAAATCAAAATAAAATACCCTTATTCAACTCTGTTTTTTTAAATCTAACACCTTATTTCTAATTTCCTTAATGTTTATGCTTAAGACTAAAGTCACCATTTCTATTTCCTCATATTTAATCCATTGTTCAACTCACTTCATTGTTTTCTACTGCAACTTTCTATCAAATCTACAATTAATAATAAATGTCTAAGTTAGTGAAATACGTTTTCTTCTTACCTGAGATTTGCTACAGTTTTTGGTATTTATTATGCTCTCTTTCACAATGAGATTTAAAATAGTTCTTTTAAACCTACATAGCTCCAAAGAAATAAACTACAGACAGCTGAAGTGTTTTGTTATCTGACATGTATGTCTTGATATGATGAAGTCAATATTTCACTAAAATGTATGTTATATAATAAACTAAAACTTTTAAGATGGGGCACATACCAGCATCCCCCATACATCAACCACCACCATGAACATAAAATAAGCCTCTTCTCAGTATCTCTGACTTTCGTGTTGGCACGTATACAAGGACAGGAACATTATTAAAAGTAATCTCCATCACAGTAACATTTTCATCAGATGTAGGTGGGACTTCTTGAAAGCTCATGAAGAACATTCCAGTGTTTACAAAATGATTGATTCCCAGGAATTCAACTAACAAAGCCTAAAAGGAGAGATAGAAAAAAAAAATACTAGATTACAAATAACAAGTGCCAGTGTTGCTTATGAACACAGAACTGTGCATAGGTACACCCAACAGTCCTGTCTCATAACCTCACAGGTGAATCTGAACGGCACGGTTGGAAATACTGAAGGTTTAGTGGTGTCGCCACATAGTTGTCTTAGGTTAAAAAAAAAGTAAAGAATTATTGAGGAATTACAACTTGATAGATTCCATGCTGGACGATTTGAGTTACAAAGATAATTAAAACAAGTTCTCTTTTCTAAAGAAGCTCAGAGTCAAGAAGGAAAAGTAGATGTGTTAGCAGTTACCAAACAACATCACTGCATATCTCATAGATATGTACAAAGAACTTTGACCGTGGTCAGTGGATTAACTAGCCACCTGGATGAGAATTGAAGAGGAGTTTTCAAATAGCTTGTGAGCTCTGATATGACTACTGAAAGGAGAGTTTGGCCAAAGGGAAATATCTCACTGTAGGCCAAAGCAATCGCCACAAGGATACTTCTATTGTAATCAGAGAAATGCATGTAGTTTGGTAAAGCAATAAAGAAGTCTGTACAGGGATGTATGAAAGAAAAGGGACCTCTAAAGGTGACTATGAGCCAAATCCTAATGGACCTATAATGTTGGGATTCCAAGGATCAGAAAGACTTGCTTTCCTCTCTTAAACTGGAAACATTTGGACTAAAAGGCTGTGTGATCAAAGAGCTAGCTGAACCTCTTTCCCAATAATGAAAATTAAGTAAGTACAAAAGAAACAACAAAATTATCTATTCTCAATACTAAATTGTCCCCACCCTGTTCCTGAAGAGGAAATCAGGAAGTACAGTTCCCAGAACACCTTGCCAGTGCAATTATAGAGTATGCAACAGAGAGGCATTCTTAGAAGACTTATTGGGTAGAAAAGGAAAAGCCATTATTTTTTCATTTTGCAATACTGTGGGCATTCATATAGACATTGGCAAATATGTGGCTTTTAATGCTTCTGATTGTCCTCCTCAGAACTGCCACTTCAGTAATGCAGGCAGCTGGAATTATTGATGACTGCTCTTCACTCCCCCATTCTAAAGACTGTGTATCTCAAATTCTCAATTCTGAATTGATTCCTATTAACCTCCTTATAGTGGTGTCTGTGTTCTGAAAAAAACATGATTGATAAAAGTCTAAAAGATATTCTAAAAGATGGTATCAAAAAAGAGAATATTTAAGACCTGTTAGAATTAGATATCTGATCTGGTTAAAGACAGGAATAGCCTCACTGCCAATGTAAAAATGTAACTCTCTTAATGCATAAAATGCAGTAGCAAACCAGTTACTTAGTTTAACAACTGTTGTAGTTTCTATTAAGGGAGCGTTTTCGGAGATCAAGTAGCTGTTGCAAAAAAATAAGAATATTATGGAGAGAATGATGAGTTCAAGTAGTGACTGCATGCGAAAGGTAACAGAAAGAATAATAACATTCTCAGGGTTTTAGTTTTCATCTAAAATTACAGTCTGGAAAGCAAATACTGCTATAACTTCCCTGAAAGAAACCACTTATACCTTACATCTCCGTCTGAAAATAGAAACAAAGCTTGTAGTTTGTGGAACTGCGATACCAACTGAATTCACAATCCTCCTGGATGTCTTAGTCGAAAGATGAAATTTGATCTAACATTCATATCTAAATAATATTCTGAGTATTAGATTAGAAACATTTGTATGGATTATGGATTCTGATGAATCTAAACACTGAATTCCCAAGTCCCACCAAATCTCCCCTAGCAGAAACAGCAGGTTTCTAACAGTCTCATTTAAGAAAGATTAGATGCCAGGATTTCTCTTGGAGGCTTTAAAGGACCAGATACATTGAAGTTACTTTTTCCTGAGTGTTTATTGGCTTGTTCACTGATGAGAGGCCTTGGGAACTCTCAATAGCACTGGGAGCCATAATACCCCTGAGTTCCCTATGACAACTCAGAGGAGTTGGTAGCAATGATGCCTCTGCAAAGATTCCCTCTTGGTCAACCTCAGAGGAGTCCCTGAAGTATAAGTTTCTTCTGGAAGAGAGTGGGTCTTCAATGCAGGTGAATATGTGATGACAACAAGATATACTGAATGTTCACTGTGTGCTAAGCACAGTGCTAAAAAGTGTGATTGATTAAAGATGCCTGTTTTCCAGAGTCCAGTCTTCATAGACTGTGAATAAGCTCAACTGTACTTATAAATAAGATTTAATACAAGGCAGAATGAGGAAAAACCTTGAATAGGGGGCTCAGGTAGCAAGAGGTGTGGGATCGATTCCAACTGACCATCATGGAGAAAGTTTCTCATGAATGCTCTATTTGATCTTAATCTGTTGACTCTGAAAAATGTGTTTAAAAATTTTTAGATTCATTCAGAAAAGCCAGGGCAACTTGATCAAAATCCTGAGTAAAAGACAGGATTTTGATCTAACTTTCTTGGGCTATGTGATCAAAATTATCCTGGGAAGCTCTATGAAGGTGACATTGTGGAGAGCTGTTTTCAGAATACAATTATCCTTTCTTTCTTTACAGGAGTTTTAATAAGCAGCTTAATATGTTCTAGTGAGCCAACAACAAAATAAATTATATATGTAATGTTAACATGTATGATTAAATATAAATACAAAGTCATGTAAACCACTATTTTTTAAAGTAGTGATTTTGCAACAATCTTTGAGTTAAACTATACAATTATCTAATTTTCTAATTCATTTACTGAAAGGTGTTTTATAAATATTATTCTGTTATTTAAGATTGTCTCAGATGAATTTTTATCCAAAACTGTATATTCAGTTGTTACTAGATTTTTCCTGAAGTTAAGAAGTTAGTCATAGTCAAAAGAAAAGGCAGCAACTAACCAACTAACAGTTATTATAGGTATATATAGATAACAATGACTTCATAATATATTCATTCATCTATATAATGTATAATGTATATCTGTATATATGGATTAGGTATAGATTTAAATAAGATATATAACTCAATGTAAATATACATATTTACATTGAGTTATATATACATATATACATTATATATACACATATATATGCACATGTATGTATGTAATATACATTATACATGTATATATGTACATATTATATATGTACATATATAATATGTACATTATGCACCTATATTTCAACTAAATATTTTGTTAAAATAGTATAGAATGCTGTATGTAATATAACTTTAAAATAGAAATTTAGTTATGTAACTACTAATTGTAACATATAGGAGAAAATACTAAGCATGTATTTTGTAAGGGGATTCTATAATTTTACAAGTTTTTAGATTCTACTAGTAAGTGCAGTAAATGTATAACAAAATGCTGGCCGGGCGCGGTGGCTCACGCTTGTAATCCCAGCACTTTGGGAGGCCGAGGCGGGTGGATCACGAGGTCAAGAGATCGAGACCATCCTGGTCAACATGGTGAAACCCCGTCTCTACTAAAAATACAAAACATTAGCTGGGCATGGTGGCGCACGCCTGTAGTCCCAGCTACTCGGGAGGCTGAGGCAGGAGAATTGCTTGAACCCAGGAGACGGAGGTTGCGGTGAGCCGAGATCGCGCCATTGCACTCCAGCCTGGGTAACAAGAGCGAAACTCCGTCTCAAACAAACAAACAAACAAACAAAAATGCTAAGAAGTCATTAGCATTCAAAACATATTGCCCAGTGTCTGAAATCTGAATTGAATGACAAGAGTTTTACACTTTACTCAGCTGCCTTCTCTTTAGTGGAATATGATTCATTGGAGCAGTGGCTTAGTGGACATATCTTCTCAGATCATCTTACCCTCTTTATACTGACACTATAACCTAAAAGCAATGTTTGATATAAATTTGAAACATTAAATGATATAGAATAAAATTCTGACTAACTCTGAAAGTTATATCCCTCAGTGTATATACAAAATAGTTTCTTGATGAATCTTAATCTATCATAGAAGAGTCTATTACTCCAAGAAAAAAATAATACAATTGAATTTCTGATGATTCATAGTTAATAAACAGTGTCTAGGCCCCTGGCTATACCCACAGAAGAGTTTTGTTTACCCAGTGTGGTTATTCAACAATTTGGAAACTTAAATTATCATTGGGCTTTAAAGTTCATGCTTTGGAGGCCATCCAGTGTATCTTTGAGAAGACCATAACAGGAAAAAGAAGTAAGCAGGGCTGGGAGAATCAACGGCAAACAGAAAGAAAACAGAAGATAAAACTAATATTTTTTTGAAAATGACCTCAAACCTAAAAGCTACAAACCTTTACAATCTGGTATAGCAATAGAAAACTATTTTTACAAATGGTAATAATCACTAGCCTGGGATAGTTCTGATGGTGTTACTTGATTGCAGTGTTATTTCCTGCTAAGCCTCAAATGCAACCTCAGAGTCCTTTCAGGGTCATGCTGAGCAATCTGTCAGAATTGGCATTGTAGCTAAACATAATTGGTATTGCTACTCTAGAAGATGACACAATGCAGACTAGTTGAGACTTGATTCCACTCAGTGACTTCCATTTATCTTCATCGCTGAATTATTAGAAGCTTGAATTAACATTTTAATATCTTATGCTCAAATTGATTGCTAATCACAAGGAAGGACCAGATGGCAAAAATTCAAGCAAGTTGTTGTTTTTTTCTTTTTTAAAGGGTTTGGAGAAAAGATGGGAAAAAAATGAGGTACTTCATGAAAGGTTGATGATTTTATAAAGGTTTTGAAAAGATGACAGATTCTATGGTAATCTGACGTACTTTGGCAAATAAATGTTTTTCTTATCTTTTTTTTTTCTTTTTTTTTAAAGGAGTCAGGGCTTTAAGTTCCTTCAAATCTATGCTTTTCTTCTGCAGGAAACCATACAGAACATGAAAGTAAACAAGTAATTCATAATCATGGTGATAAACTCTATTTCTTCAAAAAAACAAAGAATCACAGAAAACCCATGAGCTATAAATTATGTGTAGTGTTGGACCAAAGCAACTGAAACCAGCAGAACTGCACAGAAAACGACTGTGATAGAGCAGAATGAAAGACAAAAAGGGGCCGGGCGCGGTGGCTCACGCCTGTAATCCAAGCACTTTGGAGGCCAAGGTGGGCGGATCACCTTAGGTAGGGAGTTCAAGACCAGCCTGACCAACATGGTGAAACCCTGTCTTTAAAAAAACAAAACAAAACAAAAAGACAAAAAGGGAGAGTGAAGGGCTCTAAAGGTGGCAGATCCTCAAAAAAGACATTAAGTATTGGCACCAAAAATGAAAGCACCTTGCCATGATTAAAGACTCCTACCAGCAGGACTGAAACATAACAAGGTGTGATTACTAAGATAAGTTGCTAAAAAAAACAAGCTCTCAGATTACCCAGTAGGGTTCAGAGGTAACTGACCTCAAGACAAACCAACTCCAAAGTGGAAGATAACTTCAAGTGGCTATATACTCTGCTAACAATTGCCAGTAATAGACCGGAAGATTCAGGAGGACCAGAGAGAAAAATAGGTGAAAATACAGAGGAGGGTTTTACAGCTATATCGATATTTATAAATCTAATTGATAGATATGTTAGTTGTAGCAATATCTAGATATAATTTTTTATATAAAAATTGTGTATACATTTTTAATACTTATAAATTTATGTATAAATATTATATGTATAAATATACGTATGTATATCGTAGCAATAGGAGTCCTTTAGGCACAAAAACTAAGGGAAAAAATCTTGACTACCTCTATTTCCCAGGAAATTTTTGTAACAGTTCACCCAAGAAAACTCATCTTATTAAAACATGAATAACAAAAGTTGTATAAATAACATTCATGCAAGTTACTATGTGTTATATGAAAAATAATAACAGGATCTAACACATGAAGAAAACAAACTAGAAAAAAGTTACTACAAAGATAAAATATATTACACATTGTTTCAAAATGATTTTTAAAAATAACATAGAAGAAATATCAAAAAGCAAAAACACACATATTCAAATGATAGGCAGATATTTGTAAATGATTGCTAGCTAAAAGGAAGGAGTGACTAAAAATTAGTGCTAGCACTAGTACTGGTTAAACTTAGAAAAGGAATAAGGCAAAAAAGACTAATAACTTCAGAAATAAAACCAAGTTAAAAGAAACTCAAGGTATTATATATGATAGAAATGAAAAAACAAACACAAGGAAGTGAAATGTAAAAAGAGACTAAGAAGTTCTAAAGAGAAATGACATTATTTTAGCACATAAATATATATATATATGTGTGTGTGTGTGTGTGTGTATACGCTCACACATAATAAATACAAAAAAAAGCAAAACAATGACCCAAAAGAAATATTTTTATAAATAATTCCAGAATAACTTTTTAAAAATAAGGCTTGAAGCTATATTGCAGTGAAACTGATCCAAATCCAGTAACAACATACAGTAGACCATTTAATGAGTTTGAATTGAGTGAGTCTACTTATATACAGATTTTTAAAAAGTAAACTTGAGGATGAAAAATATATGTGGTATGCAAAACCCGTGTATACAGAAAACCACCTGTATATGCTAATAAGATGACTAGAAAGTGAAGTAACTAATAGAAAATGAAAATGCGGGACTGAATGTAGGGGCTGATGCCTGTAGTCCCAGTGTGTTGGAGGCAAAGGTTGGGAAGTTGGGGGATTGCTTGAGTCCAGGAGTTTAAAACCAGCCTGGGCAATATAGCAAGATCCCATCTCCAAAAAAAAAATTTTTTTTTAATAGCTAGGCATGGTGGCATGTGCCTGTAGCCCTAATTACTTGGGAGGCCAAGTAGTGGGAGAATCACTTGAGCCCAGGAGTTCCAGGCTGTAGTAAACTGTGAATACCACTGCACTCCATCCTGGGCAACAGAGAGATCAAGAACCTGTCTTTATAAAAACAAAAACAAAAAACAAAGAAACAAACAACCCTGAGAATAAGGCATGTATCACACTTATTCAGAGCTGCATTAAATGCCAGAAGAGAATGCTGAAATATCTAAAAATATATGGAAGGAAACAGAGTGTGAGTCAAGTGTTTATGTGTCCTTGGATTATTGTTTTCTTTTGCTACAAGAAGGCAGTTTGCTACAGAAGGTTCAAAAAAAAAATAATGAATGGCTTTATATCCAAGTAGTTAGCCTCATTAGAAAAGAACCACAGGTCTCCAAGGGCCAGTGTGGACACTGGGGGCAGCCAGCCAAGCAGCTGCCCTGTTGCCTCAGCGGCTCACTCTCCTTCAACTGAGAATCATGCTGTGTGTTCAGTTTCCCTTGGTCTTTTACCAGTTGACCTTTAGACAGAACATTTCAGTAAGAATGCATTTTCATGTCTGAATCCAAGATTTTTGCATAGAATTTTATATAGCTAATCACAGTGCCACTCAATTCTACCTTTTCTGAAGTGTATACTTCACAAAGGCTTCATTCTGTCAGTATTCATGCCATGAAAATCACAGTAAGATTTAATTGTTTTTCTCAGCCAGCACATTTTGTTTTCTAATATTTAAAATTAAAATAACTTGAATACTTTCCTTCATGATTATTCTGTTAGGGGTCTGTGTTAAAGAATGAAGATTTTTTTTTAAAGTTTCGAAAATCAGCAAGCAAACTCTAAGAGCAAAATTTCCAAGACAGCAGAAAGTTTTAAAAATAATATAGCTGGTAATTATTTTCTCCTAATTAAGCTGAAATATTCATAGAGATTATGAAATTCTGAACTTACCAAATTTGTTATCATTTTCACAGATATAGCTATCCACACTAGTCGCCAGTGTTCCTCAATATTATCTGGGAGAGGAGTATAAACATAATATGCCCAAAGTACTCCTGCTATCAGAAGCAAAATAGTCTTTCTTCCAATGATGTTTCCCTTTTGCTCTTTCTACTTTGGCAACACAGCAAATACATGTTTTGGAGCATTCAGTGGCTGAATTTTCATTGTTTTAAAACCTGTCATAAAATGTTACATAACTTCCTGAGTACAAATTCCACTGTTCAGTTTTCCATTTCGTCAGCAGACTAGCTAAATATACTTAGCAGAAATACAAAGGCGAGCTCTGAGAAACAATCAGCATTTATTTTCTGCAAGTTGTGTCAAATCCAACAGCCCTATGTTGCTAGGCTGTTAGTAAACCAACATTTATTACACAATTACTAAGAGCTGAATACTTTAGGTTTAAAAACGCCATGTGACAGTGCAGGAAATCCAGTGTATGTCTCAAATAACAAATCTTAGAGTACGGAAGAACAAACAGAGTATTTTACAAGTATTGAGGCTGGGTGTGGTGGCTCATGCCTGTAATCTCAGCACTTTAGGAGGCTGAGGCAGGTGAATCACTTGAGGTCAGGAGTTTGAGACTAGCCTGGCCAACATGGTGAAACACTGTCTCTACTAAAAATATGAAAATTAGCTGGGCATGGTGGCAGGTGCTGGTAATCCCAGCTCCTCAGGAGGCTGAGGCAGGAGAATCTCTTCAACTTGGAAAGCAGAGTTTGCTGTGAGCCGAGATCCCACTACTGCACTCTAGCCTGGGTGACAGAGTGAGACTCTGTCTCAAAAATAAATAAATAAAATAAAATAAAAAGTATTCAGAGCTTTTATGAAGTTCGGCAGGCATGATCACATGTTTTATATATTTTGTTCTCTTATTACAATTACAATTATCAGTGAATAATACTAATTATGTTTAAATTATACAATAATCTGGGTGACAGCTAACAGTTTTTGAGCACTTACTGTACTCCAGACAGTGTACTAAAACATTTAAAACTTATTTAATCCTCTCAATGGTATTTATTGTCACATTAAAGAGAAAAACTGAAACTGAGGAAAGTTTAGGAAGTTGTACAAGCTCATTTAATAGTATGTAGTGAAACCTGTACAGGTCTCTCTCAGAGCATATTAAAGTCTCACTTATTTCAATCTTTAATTAATCTTCTATTACAGATAAGCAATTGAAATTGCAATGGTTAAGTAACTTTTCAAGATCACAAAAAAACAAGGACTAGAAATGTCAGAAACATTTACCGTTCCCTGAATATCCACATGCCCCTCTGCTAAAGATTGAATGTTTGTGTTGCTCCCAAATTCATATGTTGAAACCTAACCCCCCACGGTGATGACATTAAGGGCGGGTGGGGGCTTTGGGAAGTGGTTAGGTTATGAAGCCTCTGCCCTTGTGAATAGGATTAGTGCCCTGATAAATGACTCTTAAGATAGTCTGCCTACTCCTTCTGCCTTGTGAAGACACAGATAGCAGGTGCCATCTGTGAAGCAGAACAAGCTCTCACCAGACACTGAAGCTGCTGGTGCTGTGAATTTTGACTTCCTAGCCTCCAGAACTGCAAGCAATAAATTACTGCTGTTTATAAATTACCCAGTCTAGATATTTTGTTACAGTAACCTGAACAAACTAGTACACTCTAATTTTTGACAATCATTATAGTTAAATGAGATTATCAGACTAGTGTGAGCCAAAGAGAGCTGATGCAAAGTCATGTGTGTTAAGATGTAGTTAAGATCCACAGAACCTGAAAACCATCTTTTGAATGGTGGCATCACAAAATATAAGCAGTTTGAATTTTTCAGTGAACCAAAGTTTCAGTAGATCAAACTCTATAATTTTCTTCAGCAGTGGACAAATTTCATGTCCAAGTTTAAAGTATTGTATGACTTAATCTTCATATCACATTAAATATATTTGTCTTTTAGTTGTCATATGAAAACAGGAACGTAAGAACAAATATTATGAGAGGCTTTCTTTCTCAAGGTCACATGATTACATATTTCCAAAGCTAGCATATTAGCCTAGATTCTCTGGCTCAGAAGTCTTTATTCTCAACACTCTGAAAATTAATAAGTGGAAATCTAGAAGAGCTGGTTATGTTCATGCAGTGGGTCATGAATGTATGGTGTGTGTTATGAATGTTCATGTTTATATGTTGAAATCCTAACCCTCAATGGGATGGTATAAAGAGGTTAAGCCTTGCAGTGGTATTTAGGTCATGAGGGCAGAGCCCAGATGGATGGGATTAGTGATCTTATAAAAGATACCTCAGAGAGCTCTCTTGTCTTATTCTGCCATATGAGGACAAGGTAAGAAGGCAGCCATCTATGACCCAAGAAGAAAGCCCTCACCAGATGGAATGTAACAGAACCTTGATCTTGTACTCCCAAGTGTCCAGAAGAGGGAGAAATAAATGTCCATTGTTTAAATCACACAGCCTACGGTATTTTTGTTATAGCATCCTGAATTTGTCAGGGTTCTGAAGAGGAACAGAGCCAATAGAAGATAGATAGATAGAAATTGCCTAATGATGCACTTATCAGAGACCATCCACATTGTTATGCAATATGAGTGTATATCTCTCTATCTATCACTTATCAGAGACTATCCACATTGTTATGCAATATATGACTGTATATCTAGATAGATAGAGAGATATATCTAGAGGTAAGAAGATATATATATGTGCAATGTGCAATATATGACTGTATATCTAGATAGATAGAGAGATATACAGTCATATTGCATAACAATGTGGATAGTCTCCGATAAGTGCATCATTAGGCAATTTCATCATTGTGCAAACCTCATAGAGTATACTTACACCGAATTAAATGGTATAGAATACTAACCCCTAGCCTAGATGATATAGCCTATTGCATCTAGGCTACAAACACCCAAGCATGTTACTATACTGAATACTGTAGATGACTGTAACAAATGGTAAATATTACTGTATCTAAACATATCTATATTAGTTCGTTCTCACAATGCTATAATGACATACTTGAGATTGGGTAATTTATGAAGAAAAGAGGTTTAATTAGCTTATGGCTCCACAGGCTATATAGGAAACATGGGTGGAGAGGACTCAGGAAACTTACAGTCATGGTGGAAGGGGAAGCTGGCACATTTTCACATGGTGGAGCAGGAGAGAGGGCAAGTAAAGGGAGAGGTGCTACACACTGAAACAACCAGATCTCATGAGAAGTCTATCACAAGAACAGCAAGTGGGAAATCTTCCCGCATGATTCAATCACTTCCCAACAGGCCCCTCCTTTAACATGAGATTTGGGTGGGGATATAGAGCCAAACCATATCAATATCAAAACCTAGAAACTGTATAATGAAAATACAATATTACAATCCTTTGGGAACACCATCAATATGTGCGGTCTTTCATTAACCAAAACATAACTATGGGTGCATGACTGAATGTAGATGGAGATATATGTAGAGATATCATTTTATCATTTTAAATTTGATGATAATTGCCTTATGGCCAAGAATTTTTTAAAAAATGTTTCATGTGCACTTTAAAAGAATGCGTATTATGACATTATTTGGTATGGGTTCAACTTGGTAAATTAAATCAATTGTATTAATTGTGTTATTGAAATTTTTTGACTTAATTTTTCTGTTTTTCTATTAGTTACCGAAAAAAAATGAGTTAAAATCTTCTACTACAGGTTCTCAGCTTTTGAAAATCTCCAAATCTCCTCACAAGAACCCATAGAGAAACAAATATAACAAAACCAAAAGCCCATGGGCAACATAATATGAAGAAAAATATAAGGCAAAAATATAACAACAAACCAACTTCCAAGTATCTATGTTGGGAATAACTTACCAAAAACTACAAGGCCTGTGTGGTATAAACTTCCCTATGTGCAGGTGGAAGCAGAGGGAAGCGGTGAAATATTTGACAGAATAAGAATTAACCAACAAATATTCATCTGAAATTGTTGTTACAAATCTGAGAAAGCAGTTGAAACTGACTGGGGTTTGCACTGCCTTATGCTGAGTGTAAGCTCTCTGCAGTGTGACCTGAAGGGGTTGGAACAGGCTGGGCCCTACTGTCCCTCAACACTGGCCAATCAAAGGCTCTTCCAGGAAAGAACCCCACACTAAGAAACTGTTGGGAAAAGAATCTAAATTATGCAAAAAATGGGGAAAGAAGTAGATTAAATTGTGGGAATAAAATGGAATATTTCACAAGAACAACAGAAGAGTGAAAGCTATTAGTAGAAAATATACAAAATCATGGTTCCCTTCTAAGGAGTTAACGTTCAAGTTAATGAATTTCCTGTGAAAATGAGCCTCAGAAATAACTGAGGTTAAATATCATTCAGAGTTATTATAATAGCAAACATAATAAGCAAAAATGACCTCTTTATAAACAATTAAAACCCAAAAAGCAGAGGAAAACTATATCTTAATGGTTTAAAATTAGCCAAAGTCATTAACACAATAACCTGCAATGTGAAAGAACATCATAAACCAGAATTATGAAAACTCAGAAATTAATCAATAACACACAAGATGTAACCCCCCAAAGAAAGAAAGAACAAACAAACAACACCATTTCAAAAATGAAGACTAGACCAAAATGGACACAAAGGAAAATAAATAATATATAAAGCTACAAAGACTACAGAAAACATCATAGGGGAAATATAGCATGAAAATGAGATAGAAGTTTCAAATAAAAAGGAAGTTAATAGCTACAGACTCTATGATTCATTTTTATGAAGTCCTGAAAAAGGTAAATTTACAGAGAAAACGGGTTAGTAGTTTCTGGAGGCTGAGGGCAAAAAAAAGGTTTGTCCACAAAGGAGAAATAGGAGAAAATGTTTTCAGGGTACAAAGCTGTTCTGTGCCCCAATCACGGTGAAATTTACATGATGGTATACATTTGTCAAAACATGTAGGATTGTATATCAAATATGATGAACTTTATAGCATATAATGTATAAGTGAATGCAAAAAGAAATTAGAAACAAAATTAGAATGACTTTTAAAAAAACAACAAATGATGAAGACAGTGAAAGAACATCCCACATAGATATAATGATATTTTACATGAAAGAAAAAT